TAGGATAGGATAGGATAGGATAGGATAGGATAGGATAGGATAGGATAGGATAGGATAGGATAGGATAGGATAGGATAGGATAGGATAGGATAGGACGGGCTGAGCAGGACCCCGGGGGCGGCGGCCCGAGAGGTTGCGAGGCTTTTCCCCACGCACACCCAGCCGGCAGCACGGCCCCGCCGTCCCCGGGAACACGGGGCATAGCCGGAGCTGCTCCAGCTCTCCAGGCACAGAATTCCTCAGAGCAGACGCTCGGGAGCGAGTGTGCTTCGCCTTACGGAGCAGCACAGCTCGGGCCAAAGCCTGTTCCGCCGAGGAGCCCCACGGGCGGGGGCAGCGCACGGCTCCGGCGGCGCTGGCTCGCCCCGGTCGCGGCTGTCCCGTGTTCCGCTTCCCCTGCTCTGACTCGGGGCAGGGAAGGAGCAGCGTCACCCGCTCCGGCTGCCCGTGCTGAGCAGCTCCTGCCCGGCTGTGAGCGGCGCCGAGTGAATGAGCAGGACAGAGATAAATTTGGTTTCTCTCACGTTAGGAGCATTTTAATCGGAACGATGGGCAGGCGACCTCTGGCTTTGGTCCCACCTTTGCCGTACTGGCTGCCAAGACCCCTTTCCCTTTTTCCCTCCGCCGGTGGTGCTGGTTCTGAGACGCTCTCCCTGCTGGGTGTCCCATCGCCTTGGGAGGATTCAGCTCGTGTCGGGAGCGGCACCACGAGCCAGCCGTGACCGCTGGTAGCCGGCACCATTCCTGCCGTCAGCCTCGTTAAAGGCAGCGCTGGAGGCAGGGACACGCCACCCTCCGCACCCCGCCCTGCAAGGAGGCATCGGCCAGCGTGAGGAGGGGGCCGCGGGGCAGCCCCCGCCCGGTCGCCATCCTGGCCACCTCCCCGGGCAGGAGAGCCCTTCTCCAGAGAGCGAAGCCAGCCAGGTGACCCACAAAAACTTCCCCAGTGCCCAAGTCCATGTTAGGGCCGTCCTGCCCCCAGCCGAGCACCAGCGAGCCACCAGTGGGAATTTCATAGCCCTGCTGGAAGCCGGAGCCGGCAGCCAGCAGCCTCCTGTCCACGTAGAAGCGGTACTGGCCCTGGCCGGAGGACCAGGTGAGGCACAGGTGGTGCCATTTGCCATCCAGGAGCGGCGCCACCGGCAGCTCCCGAAATTGCCCGTCCCCCACGGCGAAACGTGCGGAGCCAGGGCGGTCCCCACCGTGGCCGTGCACGGCCAGCTCGCTGTGCCCTTCCCCGGTGGCGTAGGAGAGGAGAGCCCCGAGGCGAGGGGCTGGGGTGGCCAGCCAGGCACAGAGTGACATCGCCCGCAGGCCCCGGTGTGGCCCCAGCCCCAGGACGGCCCCGTGCTCAGCGGAGGTGTTGGGGAAGAGCAGAACGGCGCCGGTGCGACAGGCGGGGGAGGTGGGCACCGGGGCGGGGGGGCCGTACCTGGCCTCTCCTGGCTGCCGGGGGGCTGCGGGCTGCTCCTGGGGAGCCGTGGTTACGGTGGGGAGCACCGCTGCCATGCTCTGGGGTGCTGGTGCTGCATCCCGAGGGCTCTCCTCATCCTCCCCCGGCGCTCCACCGGGCCCGGCATCAGCCGGCAGCCACTGCCCTTCCTCCTGCCGGTGCTGCTGCCACCGCCTCGCCTTGGGGCGGCGAGGGCTGGGGGTGCTGGGGGCAGCCTGGCCCGGCGGCCGCTGCTCCAGCTGGCCGCCCCGGCTCCGGGCAGCGTCTGGCAGACCCTGCGGTTTGGTGCCAGCCTCCAGTGCGGCCGGTGGGTGGGTGAGCTGGCCGTGTGGTGGGCTCAGGGCACCCACTGTCTCCTCCAGCCTCTTCAGCCTGCGGCGTAGCCGCCGGCCAGCAGTGGCCAGGCGGGCCAGCTCGGCACCCAGGGCGGCCCGGGCAGCGTCGGCCGCTTCCGCCTGCTCCGCCAGTGCCTGGAATCGTCCGTCGATGTTGTAGGAGATGTTGTAGTTGCTGGCGATGCTCTGGAGATGGTTCAGTGTCACCTCCTGGAGCCGGAGGAACTGCAAGGGAGTGGGATGAGTGCGATGAACCCACGTCCCCATGCCGGGTCCTTGCCCAACCCAAAATGCTGAGTGTCCCCCTGGCACAGGCTGGGCAGCACCCGCTCCCCGCCCCGGGCACCCACCTGCTCCTCCAGGTGCCGCAGCCGCAGGAGCAGCGGGCCGGGGCGGGCCGGGGGCCCCGGTGCCCGGGCCAGGCCGGGCTGCAGGGCAGCAGCGAGGATCAGGCACAGGGGCAGGGCCATCCCCGCCATCCCGCTGCCGGACGCTTTCTGTCCGCACGGCAAGGCCGGCCCTGGCCCCCGTGCTGTCCCCTCGGGCAGCCTTCGCCGCTGATGAGATCCGCAGCCGCCCTGGCGCGGTCCAGCCCCGGGGCTCCCAGCGCCGAGGCCCCGGGCCAGCGCTCCGCGGGGGCGGCTGGCCCCGGGCCAGAGCTCCCGGGGCTCCCGGGCAGGGGCCGGGCCCGGGTATTCGGCTGTGAGTGGGGAAAGGTGTGGGGGGATCCTGGGCATGTGGCTGGATGCAGGGCAAGGGGGAGGCCGGGCAGTGACGGCAGGACAGCACAGGACAGGGCAGGGCAGGACAGGACAGCACGGGGCAGGGCAGGGCAGGACAGGGCAGGACAGGACAGGACAGGACAGGACAGGGCAGGGCCGGTTGGATGGAACTGTCAGTGCCGGCAGGACATCACAGCACAGGACAGGTCAGACGGAGTGGTCAGTGCTGGCAGGACGACACAGCACAGGACAGCACAGGACAGCAGACCACAGCACAGGACGGCACAGGTCGGATGGAGTGGTCAGTGCCGACAGGACAGGACAGCACAACACAGCACAGGGCAGCACAGCACAGGGCAGTACAGCACAGCACAGGACAGGTCAGATGGAGTGGTCAGTGCCAGCAGGCAGTGCCAGTGCAGGACAGGGCAGCACAGCACAGCACAGCAGAGGGCAGGGCCGGTCGGACGGAGCGGTCAGTGCTGGCAGGACAGCACAGCACATGACAGCACAGCACAGGGCAGG